CTAAAACACAGAGAAAAACACAGAAAACCACAGAATGTGATATTAACATAGAAGCTAAATAAATAGCCCAAATATCAGACGTAGACGACCGAATAAATAGCATCGCTAAATTACCGACATTCATTACACTAAAAGACGTCAAAGAAAACATCAAAACAAACCCAACATGCAGACATATAAACCCAAGCAAAAGTGAATTACGTAAAATAAGTAATATACTGCTAGAAACAATTAATTCAGAACTAAAGACAAAGATAAAAAAACAACAACCCCAGACTTGTTCCGTAAATGAAACATAATTGCGAATTTATACAAGTGACGCATTCCAAAAGATAGGCAGAGTATTAAGAGACAGACGGATTTCGTTGGTAACGAACAAAAAGAGTTCTGAATTGATACGTGACATCTGTCCTCCTTTACGGCAGCAAACGTTGAACGGTCTCCTCAAAGATGAAGAAACCCGAGGCAGTGGAGGTATGGTTCTACAGAAAGATGCTAAGGATATCATGGACCGAACATATGAGCAACGGTGAGGTTTTAGAGAGGATGCAAACAAGGAGAAATCTTGTATTTAACTTTAGGAAGAGGCAGCTGAAATTTCTGTGAGGCGTAATGAGAAAGGAGGTCTTGAAAAATTTGATACTCACAGAGTGGATAGAGTGAGTTACAAGGGAAATCAAAGCATAGCGGGCGTAAGCAAATGGATGGCAGAACAGGATCTGGCAGAATTAGGAAAAAGATAACATTTATTATGACCTAAAACGGATAGGGGGAAGTAGAGAGCCTGATCGCCTACGTCCTGAAGGGACACGGCACATAAAAGAAGAAATAGAATATTTCTCGCCGTTAATAAGGGAAGCCATATTAGATAAAGTGATCTCCTAAATGATTAAAGAAAGAAGGGGCGTTCGATATGACAAAGGGAAGCTGCTGATGGAGCCGAAAAAAGGAGAGCTTATCGGTATACATATACTACATGAACTAAGCAAAATGACATCGGACTCTACAGAGACGATGGTCTCATAACCCGAAAAAAACGAAAGAAAATGAAAATCAGATAAATAATCACATTTTCAAAAATATAGAACTTGAAATAGGCATACAAACATATCTAAAAAAAAAAAGTATATTACCCAGACGTCACACTCAAACTAAGAAAGCTTACATACCAGCCATCTACAAAACCCAAAGGTATACCACTTTATATACCATCCTGGGTATGACGATAAACTTCTTTCAACTGCAAAGCCTCTGATCAAGATGTTTTGAGGAACGCGGAACACTTCTTAATTGCTGGTGTTCCCAGGTTCACTCTGACCTGGGGTGGTAGAACTTTTATGTCACAGCTATGGGTAAATTGTTAACGCCCAAAGTGGATTCAGATCACTATGAAAGTGTAAAAATAGGTTTTAGTGCCAAAAATACTTTAAAAAGATAATTACCAGCAATAATTTTTGGAAGAAAAATTATTACCAGTTATACATTATTACAAGCAACATAATTTAAAAAAAAATATTACCAGCTATACATTTAAAAAAATTACCAGCAATACATTTTTGAAATATATATATATATTACCAGCAATAAAGATCTTGTCGACAATAAATAACCCATTCAGGTTGATATGTCGCAAAACAAAACAAACAAACCAAACCACTTTATATACACACTAACAATAATCAAGCAGATCCCCAAATAAATTATCCATTATCTGACACTAATTCTAATGTAACCATCTACAACAAAGTAAAGATTATGAAAAAGCCTCAAGCATTTTCCACACAATATTTAACAGAAATTCAGTCAAGATCAGTTAGCGGTTACAAATAATTAAAAACATAACAAACAAATAACCAAAAAATCACCCACATAATCTAAAGCCAACTGGAACATCAGGGCGAAGCACGAACGTCCCATAAATAACAAATGCGCGCAAAACAATATAATATACAAAGCCACTGAAAAAATATCAGATAATAAACAAAAACATATATAGGCGTAAGTGAAGGAACCTGGAAACAGAAACTTCGCCCACAAAAGATTCTTTAACAATGGTAAATACGCAAACGGCACAAATAAATAAATACCAACCTACAACGATAACTCCAAAAGCTGCAAACTTTCATTGGAGTAGAAAATCAAATTCTCTTGATCTAGGAAGTGATATAAATCCCCTCCGGGATCAAGAGAAATGAATTAATAAATTAAAAAGTATAATAAAATAAATTAATAAATGATCAGAGCTTATCTCAAAATGTAGACAAGACTACGACTTTTTACTACGTTGTTTAAAAATCGAAAACTCAAAATGAATACGTTGTAAAATATCACCTAGAAAAATGCAAGTATATGCATTATATTATTTCTTTTTATGTGCCATGTCCTTTCAGGACGTATGTAACCATGACTCTCCATCTCCCTCTATCCCTTGAAACTCGCCACAAGTTACTTCCGTCTGCCATCTTCCCCAGACGACATTTTGGCATCCACTTGCTCAAGCCCGCTAGGTATATCGTGCGTTGTTTTTCCTTATCTCTCTTTCCCTCTATTCGACCCATGAGTGTCAGATTCTTCAGGTCCTCCTTCCTTATTATGTGTCCCACAAACTTCAGCTGCCTCCTCCTGATGTTAAATATAAGCTTCCTCCTTGTTTGCATCCTCTCTAAAACCTCATCGTTGCTCAATGATATCTTCAGCATCTTTCTATAGAAACATATCTCCGTCGCCTCGAGTCTCTTCTTCGTCTTTCTGGAAATCTTCCAACATTCGCTGCCGTAAAGAAGGACAGATATCACGTAACAGCCCAGTTTTCTTTTCTTTGTTACCAAAGAAATTCTCCGGTCTCGCAATACTCTGCCCAAATTTTTGAATTCTTCATTGGCCATCCCAATACATCTACGGATTTCAGTGTCACATTTACCGTCCCCTGTCAAAACGCCTCCCAGATATTTAAACTTCCGCGTCTGCTTGATTCTATTGTTCCCGACCTGCAAATCGCATTTCGGGCTCATCTTTTTACTGATGGCTATGCATTCTGTCTTATCGCAGAGCCGAGTTCGAATTCCAGTCGAATCCATTACATTCACTTACGTGCTAATACCCCTGGGAAAGGAATCCTCTCCCTCCAGCTAAAATAGCAGGATAGATTGGGTTCTATAGCCTTGGATGGCAACTGGTCTAGGAGAAGGACAACTCTGAATTCAAAACCTGCGGAGGGTCGTTTGGGAACCTTGTGGCATTCGATGCACCATATATATAATATATATATATATATATATATATATATTATATCCCTTCAAAAGTGTGGATGGTCCTGCACGAGGCCTTCACCACTATAATCAAATCTCATGTGCCGGTGTCGGGCTGTCGGTTTCCTGTAAACTGGTCTGCTTGACCCTCATACGTCGAATCTCGACGAGAGAGTCGATTATATATATATATGCGTGTATATATATATATATATATATATATATATATATATATATGTACAAAATTAACGAGAACGTAAATAATATAAATTCTAACGTTCACAGCATTTATTCAAAAGAGGGCTCAATACCGAGAGTAGAGCAATAATTATTTATTATAAATTTATATACGGACAAAAAACAATTACGTTTTTGTCCGTATGTAAAAATTATAATATATATATATATATATATATATATATTGATCAATATGTGTGTGTTCTTGTGTGTGAGTGTATGTATTGCTCAAATACCTAATTATATCAAACTAAGTTTCGATACGTCACAAGTTAACTTACGAGTCTCGTGCATTTGCTACACATGTAACAAATTAATGGGATCTTGTGATTATTATTATTGGATGTTTAATCCCCCAAATCTTATCAGGGGATATTTTGCATGTTTAGCGTAAGTAAGAACTTAATATTGTTGTTTTTTTTTCTTTTAATACTGTTATTGATATTGGATTTGTAATATTCCAAAGTTTATGAGAATCTGTGGTGCATATGTGCTAATTATTTTTTTCTTGTTTTTTCTGTTTGTTTTATTGATATTTGGGATGAGATTCATTCTCTAAAATATCATTTTCCGTTTAAAAAAAACGTATGAGCATATTTAAATAATTTTGTAAATAAGCTGAAATTTGAATCTGGTGTATTTTGATACCTATGTTTGTCAAGGTAAGCATCTTGCTTTCTTGGAAACAAACACAGTAGCTTCTAAGGATTAAATTTGAATATATCAACCTCAGGTGTTATCCACTAGATTTTTCTCACTTCTTTTGTTTTCCTTTTCACTTCTTCTTTTTTTTTTTTTTTCATGCAAATTAAAGACCAAAGATACGCTGCAGTTATAGATTGTTCCAGAAAAACGGAAGATTAACTGAGAAGTTATTTGGTGCACTTAGTTCGCGACTTGCAGTCTTCCAATTTCGAAATAAGAAACTTTCAACGTGACGAAAGAAAAATGCAAAAGTATAAATTCGAAAATAAATTAAAAATTGGAAAAAAATATCCATTGATAGACATGACTTTTTTTTCAAGGTAAGATATTTCTACCGGGAATATTTACTTGAATTTTTGTAATTTACCAATGTACGGAAAGTCTAATTGCGGATCAATTTCTTTTTTTTTTAATTCTGTATGTCTTATAGGATTTTATAAAACGTTATAGGATTTTATAAAATAAGAATATATTGAGACATTTTCTTTTAATTACGAAAATGAATAAATCTTGTAAAGAGAAAACCGAGTTTATTTTATTAGGTGATTTTTTTCTAATGCATTTTATATTAAATTATTGAACATTTCTGAAAAGTAAAATTTGTTGAAAAATGCGAATAATAAAACAAGAATAAAAAACAAAATTTCCGAAAACAAAAACGAAAGGGAAAAAAAGCACTAAACGTCGCTACCGTAGGACACGATTTTTTTTAAATCAATAAATGTGTAACCGAAAAAAACGTTAGAGTGAATGTGTTGTTTTTTTTTTTTTTTGTTTTTAATTTTTTAACAAGTGATTTGAGAAGTTCAGTTATGCGGCAAGAATTAAATGACGAAAAAAGAATGTGAGGGGAAAATCCTGTTGTATAAAGACAATATAACGATAAAGAAAAGTAAAAATAAAAGATACGAAGGGAATGAAGAAAGAAAGAAAGAAAGAAAGAAAGAAAGAAAGAAAGAAAGAAAAAAGAAAAAAGAAAGAAAGAAGAAAATGGTAAAACATATCGAAATGAGGAAAAATAAAAACAAAAAGAAACAAACAAATAAACAAATTGTAAGAAAAAAGAAAATTGTAAAAGCTACCGAAATGAGAAAAAATAAAAATAGAAAGAAAGAAAGAAACAAACAAACAAATTATAAGAAAACAAAAATGATTAAACGTACCGAAATGAGGAAAAATAAAAACGGAAAGAAAGAAAGAAAAGAAGAAACAAACAAATAAACAAACAAATTATAAGAAAAAAGAAAATGGTAAAATGTACCGGAATGAGAAAAAGCGAAAACAGAAAGAAAGAAACAAAAAATCAAAGAAATTGTAAGAAAAAAGGAAAATGGTAAAAGGTATCGAAATGAGGAAAAATAAAAACAGAATGAAAGAAAAAAACAAACAAACACACAAAGAAACAAAGAAATTGTAAGAAAAAGAAAATATTAAAAGGTCCGAAATGAGGAAAAATAAAAATTGAAACAAAGAAAGAAATAAACAAACTGTAAGAAAAAAGAAAATGGTAAAAGCGACCAAAATGAGGAGAAAAAACGAAAGAAAGAAAGGAAGAAAGAAAGAAAGAAAAAAGAAAGAAAGAAAGAAAGTAACGGTTAAAGCAAAAGAAAAGAAACAGTTAAAGGGAATGAAGGCAATTGAAAGGAACTATAAGAAATAAAAAGAAATTATAATTAAAAAGAAAATGGAAATACAGTTACCAAGAGTATATGCACTTAAGTGAATATAACGAACCCAACAAGAATTAGAACTCTTCGATTAACAATTCCGAGTTTTTATCATTGCTCCACCCACACATTCAATCTTACAGCGCCTGGTATTCCCAAGTAGAACCCACCAGGCTCGCCGTTGCTTAACTTCAGTGATAGTACGGGCCAGAATTTCACATTGATATGACCGTAAACCTCGACAAAAGAAAATAAAAGAAAGTTAACAAACGGAAGAAAGGAAAGAAAAATGAAAGTTAACAAAAAAGAAAAAAAAGAAAGAGAAAGTTGACAAAAGAGAGAAAGGAACAAAAAAAAAGAAAGATTAGTAAAAGAAAATGAAAAATAAATTTGCAAAACTAGCTGAAAGAAATGAAAAAAAAATGAACACTTGGGTACAATGAAGATAACATATCCAATTGAAAAAAAGAGAAAGAAAAGGTTGCTTTCCCAATCTGTGACCAAGATCCGTTCCATGACGTCATATCGGAGAAATATCTCATCACCCACTGAAGTGCAATCTGGTCCATCGCCGCCTTCATTAATATATAAGCAATGACTGTAATCACGAGACGATTAACTGTCAATGTTTTAGAAAACCGAAGGGAAAGAAATTTCTAGAAATATATTTCGATTTTAGCCATTTTCAAGGGTTTTCTTTGACACCAACCAACTGGAAAAGAACACTGGAAAAACTAAATGAAAATTAAATTTTCTTTGTCTGTCATATTTAACGAAAGATGTTTAAAAGAAAGGTTACTGCAGAACTCTCTCTCTCTATCTATCTATCTATCTATCTATATATATATATATTTATATATATATGCACTAAGTTCCACGATTATTTTAATATATTTTTAATTCATACGTTTTTTTTATAGATACAAATATTTAAATAAATGCTCTGTTTATAATAAACAGTATTAACTACATTTACCAGCTTGAATGTCCGAGAAAAGTCATAGAAAAAGTGTGTCCTCCGACAGAAATCGAACTTGGAACCACCATATCACGCTATACTATTTACCTACAGAGGAAGCATCCGGTCCACTAAACCAAATTAATATCTTTTAAAATACTAATTTCCCAGGATTTTTCTCGAACACGTATATCTCCTCAAAGCGAATCTTAACATAAACAAATGACTCAATATATCATTAAATGGACTAAGTCGATAATCATTTATATATATATATATATATATATATATATATATATATATATATATATATATATATATATATATATCGATGGATGGATGTATTCTCCCATCGAGAAAGATGGGTGAGGGTTCTGTAAATTTTAAATTTTAACGAACATACACAATTGTTTAACTTAATTGATTGTAGTCTGCAAGGAATACTCTCTCCATCATAACACCATGTCATGTAATAGTGCACTGTGTTCCACATGTCAGATGATGCTATAAATTGCAAATCTCATCCTTTCTGTATTGGAGTTTTCCATCTAGTTGCATACTGACCGTTGGCTCCTATAAGAAGTTCATCCGCTTTTTGCCACAACTCTAAAAGATGGCCGGGAATCAGAGTTTTAATTCTCCTAGACTGCCAACCAATGATATACAGCGCACTATGCTCTACGATTTAGCCACAGCTAGGCGGAAAGAAGACATAGATTAATAACTTCCCTTGGGTATTTACGCATAAGAGAATGTAACGAACCTAACTGGAATTGGAACACAGTTCTCCCAGTTCTCATTATCAGACGTTATCCATTACATCATCCGTGCATCCAAAGCATATGTTATTCCAAAGCGTGTCATATACCGGGTGTAACAGCAAAAATGTCCAAATCGTGTAAAAGCAAAATTGTCTATTTATTTAAGCCGTTGTATCTTAGAAAAGATTAAATATATCTTGCTAGAATTCTCCGAGGTTTTTATAATACAATTAGCCTCTATTTTGAGCAATAATAATATATAATTACTCCCCAAGCTAAACAGAAAAATCGTGTTTAATCGATCATAAATGAAAATGACATCTTCATCATTAATTAATCATAGCTAACGATCGGAAGCTCATAAAGACTGAAATATAGTTTTTTTTTATATATATATATATATATATATATATATATATATATATATATATATATATATATATATACTATTCCAGGTTGATTTTACAACTTATTAAAGATGTTCTTCACCCTCTCTAACCTTCAAATTTTCTGTATTGGAGTAACAAGTTGCCTCACATGTTTCACGTGCTAAAACCTTTTAACCTGTTCTCTTTCTGCGTGAATTACTCAAATGATTTTTCAGTGATTTTTGTGACAAATGGTGTCAAGATGGCTAAACGTCTTATCTGAAAACCTGGCAAAAGAAGTTCACTAAAGTAAAAGAGGTTTTTGTCCAGGTTTTTCAGATAAAACGTTTAGCCATCTTGACAGCATTTGTTGTAAGAATCACTAACAAAAAAAAACAGTTGAGTTATTGAGGTAAAAAGAGAGCAGTTTTTGATGGATGTCAGTTATCTCCTGTTAATTTAACCTCTGAAAGTTCTCCACTGCCTTAACCAGGAATTGAACTCACCTACTTTGGGTCTGTCACTTAGGACACATGGCACAGTGGATAAAGGCGTTGGTTAGATCCAGTGACAGACCCAAAGAAGGTGAGTTCAATTCCTGGTTAAGGCAGTGGAGAACTTTCAGAGGGAAATTAGCAGGAGATAACTGATAACTGACATCCATCAAACATGGCACGTGGAACTAGAACAGTCTACCCCAGTGATCGAAATAAAGGGTTCAGTTCGAAATTCCAACCACCTGAAGAAGGCCGGAGCGTACTACGGCCGAAACGTTGTGACAAATATGGCGACAAAGATGAGTACAATAGTCCGACTAATGTAAATACTGTACATAATACATCATCTCAGAAATATAGACAGACTCAAATACATATAAATATATATATATACATATATAAATATATATATATATATATATATATATATATATATATATATATATATATATATATATATATATATATATAAATATATATGTGTCCTACGGCATTAAATATAGAAGTATTCATGATGGTTCACCTCAGTAATTATCCTCTTGATATGATAACTCTGGTTTAAATGGCATGCATTGCATACAATTCGTTCGGAAATGTATAAATTGTCATCTATATACAACCTTTTAATCAATGCTTAAAAATGCCTTCAAGCAAATTAATCCCATAGTTATAATAGAAGTCAATACTTTATAAGATTCTGTACACTCTGGCATTACAGGATCAGAAACAAAGTGCTTTTCCAAAAGTACGTCTTTTTACGACTTTCACAGCAACAACAGAAATTGATAGCACATACGGGAAAATAATCACACACGGGAAAATAATCATATGATCAAGATGTTAAGTTTTCACACAACATTAAACACATTGTTAAGGAGAAATACGAGAAAGATATATGGCATTTAGGGAATTTTATAAGTCCTTTTTTAACTCTTTTTAAGAAAAAGATTTCCTAATCTTCAACTGAAGCAAACCTCAACTGTTCAATCAAAGATTTCCTAATGTTTCTTGTATGGAAACGGCCTATTCAACTAGTATCATTACCATAGAAAACATGGCTATTTAATTCTATTTAAGTCTAGAAAAATTACAAAAGAACGCTGATTTCGAGATGATGTAAAAAGTGTTGAAATGTCGTTAAATCTACTAAGCAAACCTCCTTGCAATCCTACCCGATTTCCTTCCCCACTTCCATTCTTCCTTCCTTTTTGATGTTGTTTCTTTAATTTCCGTCCACTTTTACCCTTTCATTCTTTCCTCAACCATTAATCATCTATTCCCCTTCTTTCTTTTCTTTTCTTTTTTTTTTTTGAATTTTCCCTCTTCAACCGCAGACATTTTGTTTTCTATCTACACAGATGGAAGTTTCTTTCTCTATTGGACAAAAATGATTCCACTGCCAAATGACTCGAGTGATAAATCTTCGCTGTCGTAAGCGGATCCGTAGATATGCACAGTTTCTTTTATAAGGATATATAAAACATATTGTTTTGTTTTTTTTATATATATATACGAAAGATGAAAGGCAACAAAACCTGGTTGGAGAGGATAAACAAAGAAAGTAGGGATTATATATATATATATATATATATATATATATGTATATATATATATATATATATATATATATATATATATAGGCAGCATATATTCATTCAAACTTGTTGAATAATAATATAGACATTTATTTTATAACAATAATTACTAGTTCTCTAATATATATATATATATATATATATATATATATATATATATATATATATATATATATATATAGTCAAAGCATATATTCATTCAATCCTGTTACATTGAATATATATAGAGAGAGGCAGCATATATTCATTCAATCCTGTTATATTGAATAATATAGACATATTATGTCTATTTATTTTATAACAATCATTACGAGTTTTTTAATCAGTTTCTTGATGTTAAGATAAAATTCAACAAGGAAGGCACCATAGTTTTTTCCTACCCAAGTACTTTCGATCCGTTTCGAGACCATCCTCACCGGTGAATTACAAAGACAACCCTATTGTAACTATCTATTAAATACTAGTTGAAAACCTTAAGCACAGTTTCTTTTTTCTTAAATTTGTCTTGTTTCATGACTAGTTGTGGTGCTGGCACATCGAAAATATGATATAGTATTTTTATCTGTTCTTCCAAGGTTTGAGATCTTTCATCGATGAACCGTTTTTCAGCTGATTGTGGTGCCTTTTTATGTTCAAATCTTTTCACTTTTACGATCTAAAACAACTTCCAAATTCTTTCTGATATTATGCCGTCTGCCCTCGTTTTTTTTGCCATCCTTTATTGCCGACCTTGACCTTTTGGTGTAGTCTTTGTTATTCATTCGTATTTTTCGACTTGGTAATTACTTGTCGAATACCGATTTTACTTTTCTAGCAAACATTAATTCTGCCTACGACATATCTGATGGTGTAATGGGACTACGTATTATGCAGTAAACTCTCAGAAAATTTTACTGTCTCAGAACTGGCTTTCTTCAACGATCTTTTGAACGTTCCCAGAAACTGTTACGCTTGTCCGATCGAACTTGGGTAATAAGGTGGGGGTCGTAATATGCTCAGTGGAGAATATCATGCGAAAGTCCTCAAATTCTTTACCCATAAATTATATTCAGTTCTCAGAGACTTTGGTATCTGCTATGCCATATCTCGAAAACAGTACTTACAAAAAAAATCATTGCCACTGAAGTTGTTGGATTATTGCACTTATAAATTTTCGTCCATTTAGTTGATAAACTACCACAAGATAATGTGATCCATTCATAGGATATGAAAAATCTATATGCACTATTGAGCACAGAGGTTATGTTTTTGGCCAAGGTTCTGTTTTTGTGAGAGGTAGTTTTCTTGCCAGAGCACAACCTCTGCAAGCATTCACTATTTTTTTTTCAATATCTTGG